TTTTAGTATCTGTCTTCACCTTCCAATTCCTTCAGATTCACTTTTAAACGTTCTATTAGGTGAGGGCCTAAGCAACTTAGTGAGATCCTGTATCAAAAAACAAAAACGGTTGGGGATGTGATTCTGTGGTTAAGCACCCTTGGGTTTAACCCAGATACATAAAAATTCTATTGCCTTCCAAATTAATATTTTTCTTCTCATAAAATTATTTGAATTGCTTCAAATCTATGTATTTTAACTCTAATCACTTTCTTGACCTAAAGTGCATTTTCAATAATTTTACTTTTCAAAAGTGATATGTCCAATATTAATTCATAATTTCTTTTCCTCATCCTTCCCTATTTATTGCCTCCCCATGTGCTAAAAACATCAAATTCAGCATCTATGAACAATTGCAATAATCTTGCCACTAGCCCTTAGCTTGCTTATGCTGAACACCCAGTGAGTTATCTTTAGTTGTTCACATTCTTTTTCCTCACAAGCCTAAACTTAAAACAGTTGCCAAATTATATCAATATACCTCCAGAATGTCTCTTTTCCCCATCTATCCCATTGACATTATAGGTTGTCATATTGTGTAGCAGTGCTATCCTAACTAGACTTTCCTCTGTTTATTGCCAAATTTTAACTTCTAAATTCTGCTTCCCAGTTAATTTTAGTTAGAATAATTCCAACAATATCACAAATTTATTAAAAATAAGTCTTGAGTCATTTCCATCATAAATAGAAAAAACATCTAGACTTTAGTGTGGAATTAATGATTCCTTTACATTTCACTCCAAAATATTAGGACCATATATCCAATATTATGTACTTTTTCTTACAAATCCTCATCTCCTCTAAGTTCAGCTATTAGCCACTTTTCCAAAAAATGTCTATACTTATTTTTACCAATTCATTTTCTCATATGTCATTCAGCTTGTAATTCCCTAATATACACTCCACAGATCCTCAGATTGTATATCCCTCCTCCAGTTCCACCCAGTAGCATCATATAGACATAGCTTTTGTGCTTCTTTCTCTTAGAGGATATCTGTAATAGAAACTGATGCCCCACCCTCCTTATTCACTTTTCTCCCTGAGTTTTACTGAGAACATTGTTGCCTACCTAAACCTATGCTTTCTACCTTCTTTTGTTAAGCAATTCAATTTGAGTTTTGGAATATAGACAGAAGGCAACTTTCCAAGGATGCTTTTTCAGGTATTTTCCCTATAATCTCTTTTTCTGCTTCTTTCTTTAGGACACATGAGGAATAAAGAAGTATTGGAAGCCCTGTTTTGAGGATAATAAAGCTGCCCAACCAGTCTTGAACTGTTTTCCTATAGATCATGAATGAGAAAGAAATAAATGCCTTGTGATGCAATATACTGTATTTTAGGTTATGTCCCCAAGCAAGGTTTTTCTCTGTAAACAGAGCATTTGAATAGCATTGATATCTTTCTCTTGCCTCCATCATCTGCAGCACTGAGAATTTCAAGTTGTACTTATCAAAATCTGATTTTTTCACTATAAATTCATGCTCATACATTTCTCCTCTTTTCTATTAAATTCTAAAACTAATACAGGAAAATACTGTTTTGGATTTATCTTTACGTCTCCTCCAATCTCCAGTACAAGTTTTTGGAACTAATGTACATTTAAAATCTTCTTTTTTTTAATTCAGATTCCCTCAAGTTGGTTTTTAAATCAATTTTGAACTTGTAATGACATTATTATCAAACAATATCTTCTCTTTAACTTTTGTAGTGTGCACTCCTGCTTCTGTACTTTCTTCCCCACTTAAAGGGCATCTCTCATGACTTGGTCTCAGCTTTCAGATTGTTCCTTCCTCTTTAATCATCTAAAATACTCATGGCCTAACCTTTTTTATTTTTAAAGAGAGAGTGAGAGAGAGAGAGAGGGAAAGAGAGAGAATTTTAATATTTATATATATATATATATATATTTTTTTTTTAGTTCTTGGTGGAGACAACATCTTTCTTTGTATGTGGTGCTGAGGATCGAACCTGGGCTGCACGTTGAGCCACATCCCTAGCCCCTAACCTAACCTTTATGCTGATGATTACAAAATTCTCAACTTGCAGTCATAAATTCTCCCTCAGTATTTCTCCATCCAACTCTGTAAATTACCTCTTACATGGCTCACCATCACCTCATGCTTAACATGTTTTAACTGAACCCTATAACTTCTACCATATGAATCCTTCTTTTCAATTTTACCACATTTAAACTGATATATCACTTCTCTGAGTTCTTGAGACTCTTATTTTTTTTCTTTCAGTTTCCTTCCTTAAATTCAAAATGTGTTTAGAATATAAAAACTTCTTTTAAAATAATGCCTCTTTGATTGATTCCACCAACTTCTACTGTGCTTTCATCTCAGTTCTGAATCATGGGCTTCCAAAAGGTCAATTCCTCTTTGTTTTCTTTTCTCTATTTTGTCTTTTAAAACTATCTTCACACTAGGGTATGCATTTTGCAACTCCCCTTCTCTAGAAT